TTCTCTCAGCTCCACTTCCTCTTATAATTTTCTATATTTTTCACCACTCCTTTATCAGCACAATAAGGCAAGTTTATGCAGTTCATACAATGATCATGCCATAACCATTGCTATTTTTCATTGAAAGGAAGTTTATTCTCTCTCTTCTTTCACCCTCTTCATTCTTGCTAATTCTCTTGTTTTCCCTTGTTTTTGGTCTATTTGTCAAAAGTATTATAGGTAACTTATATATCATTAGTCAATTAGGTTCAGTTTGTTTCACAATATTAATAATCTACACTGCTTATACAAGTTCTCTCTTCAAAATGCTTATAGCAATATCAATATGGAATCTAGATGCTTTGGTCCAACTGCTAAACAAATTTGATACGAAATATTGATTTATTTTCAAGCAAAATAAACTACATGAACATGAAAAAGGCCTCTAACACCTCATCTGAAGATCAGAAGATGTAGCCGCATACAGAAATATCAGAAAGCCCTCAGATTCATCCACCAGAAAACATGTATATGAGATTATGAGCCTTCTAGGCTCCCACTTTATATCTTATTTTATTAAATATTTGCTTTGGGGTTGTGGGAAGGCGATTGATAAAAGGAAGATAGGCTTACTGGTTCAGTTTGTCGGTGGAAAGACTCTAGCCTAGACTTCAGAACTGCAGCAGTGTCATCTTTGCGCTGAATCAGAGGCTCCCCAGTCACCTAAAGCAAACACAAAGAAAATGTCATACAAAGAACAGTAATTCTTATTGGAATTGCGGAAAAATTATAATACACAGATATCATTCACAGAAGGCTTTGTTTGAATATGCTATGCTCGAACTAGTTCACAAAATCAGGAAACAAACATTCAGATAGCAAGTTTAGATTCTTAAAAGATAATGTACATTAAGATAATCTGTTGTGCATCATCAAACATCAAAAGTCCAAAACCATTAAGCATAGGTAATGCATGTGAATATGTGATCATCAATCAAAAAGTGAAAAAAATTTAATACAATGTCTCACATCATCCACTCCTTGTACTTTTGGAGGAGCAAATTTGGTGTGGTAGGTACGACCACTTGACGGATGGATCCAACGTCCAGTGATTCTTTCCTCCAAAATGGTATCATCAATAGCAAAGTTCAACACTTTGTCAATCTTAGTTCCTCGCTTTTCAAGCATCTCATCAAGCTGCATCAAGTAGAGAAAGGAGAATAATTAAATTTCCCTTTTGTTGAGCCAATCAAGTCAATGACAAGACACTACACTAAAGAACAATTGGGCCTACCTTTTCTGCTTGGACCACTGTCCTTGGAAACCCATCAAGAATAAATCCTTTTTGACATGAAGGCTTCTTTATTGCTTCATCAATGATCCCAACAACCAAGTCATCAGAAACGAGTTCACCCTGCGTGTTGTAAACCATGATATAAGTTTCTTCATTTGGTTTCTCCGTATCAGCAGCACATATAAGTTACATGACAAAGCATGAAAACAACACAACAAACATTATCTAATATACTACCTTGTCCATGGCTTCTTTAGCCTTAACCCCAAGAGGAGTTTTGGCGGCCACTGCAGCTCTCAGCATGTCGCCAGTAGCCAGATGACACAAGCAGTATTCATCCTTAATGATTGGTGACTGAGTACCCTTACCCGATCCAGGGGGTCCTGAAAAAAGTACAACATGATTCTAGAAAAGAATGTTTCAAACTCCAGCCATTCAAAAAAAACAGCTATATTTTAAAAAATTATAATAATGATATTCTCCATATTATAACAGACTATGAAAGATGGGAACTTTTGCAAAATTTTTGGGCTCAGTCAAACCAGCTCAAATCAAAAACCAGATGGTTTCCACACACTGAGAAGCACAGGTAAGTGGGCAGCCCATACAGATATGTGAAGCAACTAACATCAGTCAGCAGAGAATTGTAACCCAGAATTTCTTTAGCAAGGAATATTATGAGGTAGACCAACCAGTGGCAAGCCACTTTCATATACCAAAATTCAGCAAGGCAGAACCAAAAGCATCAAGAAAAAACAATATCAAAGTGCAGGGAATGACAATGTATTTGTTGTTCTTATCTTCTTTATTAGGAAAAAATTAAACACATTATCGTATTTCAAAAATCAACAAAGCACGAAAGCAGAACTGAAGGGGGCAGTTCTCCCATTTGTTCTATTCATCAAACATAATTGGCTTGTTAAGTATACACTATAATCACTTTCATCTTCTACCATTTTATTCATATTTATAATTACTTTATTAAACTTTCCTGGCGGAAACAGGGAAGGCCTTAGAGTATGATCAAGAACATAGACATAGTACAGAAAATTTAGATTTTTTTTTCTATTGAACATCATATATGATGACAAACAAACCCAATGAAGTTCTCAATTGAAATTATGTCCAATGCTTTCAAAACCAAACATAAATCTAAGGGTAACAGAAATGTCCCATTCCTGCAAAACTCACCCCTTTACCTAACCGAAAGAACTTGATGCAATCTAAGTGCAATTACAACAACGTACAATAGCTTTAATCCTCGTATAATCGAGAAAAATCTTAGAAACCAAGGACTCTGATCATCTTAATATATATTTCTTTTTAGGTTGAATTAGAAGAAATTCACATCCAAGAGATGAAACTAAATTGAAGGAAAAAATTTAAAAAAAGAAAACAAAAGGCGACCACCTACATTGCAAAGGGATAAACACGAGTCGTAATGTTGAATATTCCAATGCATCTACTTTTAGCAAGCAACATTTGATATACATTATCTCAAACCCAGAAATTTATCTCCCTAAGAAACAAATCTATTTGCTAAATTGCCATGTCTAATAATAAATGAGTAATTTTGGTGACAAAATTGCAAAAACAAATTGAACTCAAAAGCCCTAAAATATCACACTAATAAAAAATGCAGTGTAAACTTTAATCATACAAAGAAAGCTTCAAAATTGCTTCAAAATTTGACCAAAACTCACCCAAAAAAAAGAAATTAAACAAAACCCAAATCACCAAACAAGCAAAATTCAACTCAAAATCAAAATTACACACATAACATAAAAACCCAAAAACAGATCTTTAGACAATGAATTAAAAACTAAGTAAAAAGATAATAGATAGAAGAAACTAGATCTGAGAATATAGAAAGAGAAAAAAGAAGTACCAACGAGAATGAGGCGTTTGTCAGGCTTAGAAGAACATTTCATACGGCGAAGAAGCTCAGACATGAGATCAAGAGAAGGGACATCTTCCAAATTAGCCGCCATTTTTGTGTGTGTAATTTTTCTTCAAAAACTCAACAATAAAGAAGAAGAAGAAGAAGAAGAAGAAGAAGAAGAAGAAGAAGAAGGTCAGGAAGAGAAGAAGTTGTCTGGTGGAGAATTGGAATATGGGGGTTTGGTAAAATACAAGTAGAAAAATGGAGGAGAGAGAAAATGAGTTGAGTGATTTTTCGGACCTACCAAAGGTTTTTGAGATTCTTAGATTACGGCCTCTTTGGGGCTTTTCATGTCAAATTACGATTCTGCCCTTCGTACACATTTTTTTTCATTTTTTCACTTTTTTTTTTTTTTTTTTTTTTTACAACCGAGCTAACAAAGAAAGCACAAATTACAAAATCAAAGAAATACTAAAATTGAAAATACAATAATTGACGACGTCGCGTACAACCAGTCAACCAGTGAGGTGGAGCAACCCAAGCCCGAGGAACCTTACTAGCCTGACAAACCAAAAAAGGCCGAATAGCATTTCACAGGTCTTGGATAAGCCAAAAGGTAGAAACTACCATAGTCCCCAAGATCGGAAGAACCACAGAAGAGTAGCACAATTTATAAAAATCCGGACTTTAAAAAAACCTTTACGACACGCGAACTCCAGACCCCACAAGCAACTCAGATTGGAGAGCCAAAGCAGCAAGAAAGCCTGACAACCTTTTGTGAATAATATGTAAGGAAAAATATATTCATGTGGGATCTTTTTAAATTCATCTCAATATGTACTATCATAATATATAACTTTTATAATTTTTACTTATGGAGAATTTAAAGTTATTGATTATTAAAGTTTTGCATTGACAAGCGTAGTAAAGAAACAGGCCAAGTAAAAAAACGGAGGAGGTATATCATATGATTTTACAGATCAAAAAACAATAAACCACAGCAATACCAAACGGACCTTTAGAGTTTTTTTTTTTTTTTCCATTTTGTTTTGTTTTTGGCTTATAGTAATGGTTCCTCCACTTGAGAGGAACTTGCCTCTCTCGGAAGAAAACAACGGATCCACTCGTAAAGTTGTATGAGACAACGAATTGAGAATGTGCCAAATTATTATATCTATATATTTGGATTCTTAGTCTTTCTTTGAATCCCCGGTATGACTTTAATCAATGAAAATTAGTGTCCTTTGGGACTTCTTTCAAAAAAAAAAAAAAAAAAAAAAAAAAAGTAGTCCAAAATTTCTTAAATTAGATTTTGACATAACTTCTTGAGTCTAAGTATCTAATTAAGTGTTGTGTTTTGATAAGGAAAATACACAATTTTTAAGGACAGATAGTCATACAAATCGAGGTGCTTTAAAAGTCAAAATCAAACAGATCTAAGAGAATAGGTCCAATTTTCGAGTTGAAAATCAAAATTTTGGTTCTTCAATCAAGTCAAGTCCTAAACCTTATAAAACCCAATTTTAAACTACAGCTATTTCTAATTTAGAATTATGCATAAAACTCGCAAACTTCCTCCACTCTAAACTACTTCTTCCGCTCTAAATTATGCATAAACCCTATTTTGTAGGATGTTGAGTCTATCTTAATATACACTTTCTAAATATTGATTTTTTTTAGTAAAACTTAACATTATACTTCGTATAATTGAAGATATTGGTTTTCAGGTTTGAAGTGGAGGTAGTATATTCCTTTCTTTCACCTTTCAGTTGCTTGTTACTTTAGTCACACATTATGAGTAATATCAAACATCGCATTTAACAATAACCCCCATCACCAAAAAAGTAACTGACAATAACCCGTTACGATTATCAAAACTTGTTATAATAATAACAATCTCATCAATTCCTACATCCTTAAATGGATCAACCATACATAATTATAAGCAATTTCACGCCGCAACCGAATCAGAATCTGGTAAACCCAGGAAACAAAACATAACTTTTTATCCTGTTCATTCTTTTGACTTCTTTTTCTTCTTGCTCTCGCTTACAGCTGATACATCCTCACCATCATCTTTACTCTTTTTCTTCTTCTTCTTGATAGTTCTGTCTTCCTTCTCATTTGCAACAGCTTGTTCTTGTTCTAATCTGCGCTTTTCTTTCTTCCTTTTCTTCTCGGCCTTGCCCTCTCCATGATCTTCTTCAGTGTCTTGCTCCTCCTGTTGCTCTCCTTTCTTCTTTTCTTTCTTTTTCTTCTTCTCCGACTTTGTTTCTTCCGCAACATCGTCATCCTTGGATTTCTTTTTCTTACTCCTTTTTACAGCAGAGTCAGGTTGATTATCCAAGTCCATATCGTCATCATCTGTGCACATAAACATACCATTGACAAGTTAGTAGCCTTAGCATATAACCTCTAACTGTGATAGATTAGAGGACAACAACCTCTAACCTCAGAAATCTCAAAATTTCGTATCATACAAGAAAACCGTCCGATACTCACCATCCTTTTGGGTTTCAATTGCTGCTTTCATGACATCAATATTTTTCCGAGGTGCAACTCCCTTGTCATAGAAGTCAAGTCGCTCCTCCACTTGTTCACGTAACTTTTCACCAAAAACGGTAGAGCCCTTCTCTGTATTGACACAAACATATATCAAATTCAAGAACTAATTTGCACCCTCCATGGCTTCCTCCAAATGAAAATCAACCTGCAAACGAGGAGATAATAAGTTGCAACCAAAACTAACCTGAGAAACAGTCAATACGAGAGGCAATGGAACACTTGTTTGCAAGATAACGTGCCATCCGACCCTTATTCCGAGATGATGCCCGGCCAATGAAAGAAGAATGGAATATCAGACCATACTTGGGTGTGTTTCCTCGTGTTTTCAGGGCCCTAATCAAAACGTAATCTTTTAGACACATTTCTGATGCACAATAATTCTTATTACTAGGCAAACAACACGAATATCACACAAGCTGTCAAACCTCATCTTTTCCCAAAGGAATAATTTATCAAACTAGTGTAAAACCAACCAACCTAGTAACTTCCTACAAAAAATATGCAAAGATACCAGGAATACCAAACATCACCAAGGATCAGAAATTACCTGAAGAGTGCTTTCTCAGCACCAAGAATTTGCAGGGTGGAAGAAGGGCACTTTGCCAGATTTGTAAGACTACCAGCATGGGAGATCAATCTAGCTCCGACCATCTCACCAATCAATGAAGTCAAGTTTGGTGCTATGTCGTTCATTTTTGTGACCAAGTAATCATAAAGCTTCCTCCTATACTCAGAAAGATCCATTACTCTTTGAGCAAATTGCTGGACATTAATCAAGTCAATGGGAGATAATTCTTGTCCTGCAGGAAAACCAGTGTTATTAGGATGAATTTTCTGCATCTTGTCAAGTCAAATAAACCTTGACAAACAATTGAATGTATATACCCATAGATGCTTTAGCAGCTTCAATAATCTCCTTTGCTTTATCCTCATCACCAACAACTTCAGTCAGGTCAGACAGCTTCTCCTCAGACAACTCTGACTTGTTCTCAATATATTTGGCCAATTTAGCATAAAGATAGTTGTCATTGACTATCTTAACTAGTTCGGGAAAATGCCATGAATACCATTCCCTGCATTAGAGAGCAAAGAGGTTTATAAAGCCCTGAAATTATTCAAAAGAAAAAAGCGCACAATGCAGTGTAGGTAGCATGTGGCTAACCTGACTCTCATTGAAAATGAGTTAACATCTTTGTCAAGGGTGTCAAGAAGAAAGATAGCTTGTATAACCATGTTGTCAACACGATTAACATTGAACTTGACCTTTGCTCTGCTGTAGCTGTGTCCTAAACCCAATTGAGATTTCACTAAATCCCCAGGCTACAAAAATGACAAGTGCAAAAAATTTAAGACAACTACATCCATAACCAGCAAATAAAAACAAGCTTATCAGAAACCGGGTGCAAATGTACAAGACACAGCCCCAAAAGAAATTTGCAAAGGAAAATCCACAACCTTAAGATTCTTGATGTAATGTTCAAAGTGTAAACGAACACCACGGAGAAGCTCCAACATAAACTCATTACTTCTGCACGAAATGTTAGTCCCTTCAGAAATACTGGCTCCAAGTTTAGAGTCTGCTACTCCAACAATAAATTCCTTGGCCTTGGAATTTTGAAAACTTAGCTCCAAGAAATTTCTCAATTCATCAGTCATAATACCTGTTTAAGCACAATGTATGAATTATATTACCTTCAGTCTCCTAAACACAATAAAGCTAACAAGCCGATTACAGCGCAAACAAGGTAATTGATGAACAATAAGCTGAAGATTCAGCCATTACCCGTAACTAAAGAATCACATCTTCCTAAGCATCAAGATTCAAAAATCAAACTGACAATTACAATTGTATGACAATTTTTACCATTATAAATTCAAGCATTCTATAATTGACAATAAAGCACAAAAATTATGAAATCATTTGTAATATGGGTTAGTAAGCAAAAAATTATGACAAATTAAGCTATAAAGTTTAAACCGTAGCAGCTTATCACTCTCTTTTCTTATCGGCGGTAAAATTTTGTCAAATAATGTGTCTGTTTAGTGTTTACTAAGTCTAATTTCTTCCAAAACTGGTGCCAAAGTGATGTTGCAAGCACATAAAAATGGAGAAAGTATGTATTTTGGATTCCTCATTCCACCTCTGGCATGTAAATGAACACTTTCATATTACATTTTACACCAAATTCACGGGAAAATTTCAAAAAATAGCAGTCTGACACTATTAAACACATACAATACTCCACCTTAAAATCATAACACATCAAAAACATTAAACCAATACAAACAACAAAAACCCAGAAACAAATTCAACAACAAAAACTATCAAAGCAAAGTAAATATTACAGAAAGAAATGAAAGAAAAGAAAACCCACCTTCAGAAACAGCATTGCATTGATTAAGAGCATCAAGGGCAGACTCAAAGGGCTGAAAAGCAGTAAGCTTGACAACTTGACCAAAGCGATTAAGGTCAGAAACAGAGTTACGAACAGCTTCGGTGTTCTGCCCAATTTCATCTAAACCTTCAGCGTTAAACAACCCATAGCCAGATGAGGATTCGAATAGCAAATACGTCTTCATTACTACTTTCTCTCTCCTCTGCTCTTTCACTTTCTCTCTCTTCGCCTCCTATGTTGAAGAAGGAAGAAGAAATAGAGAATGGAGGTGGGGTGTTTTTTTAGGGTTTAGGGTTTTCGTTTGATGACTGAAGTGGGGTACTGTGTGGAATTTTTTTTTATTCTTTTTTTTTTACCAAATGTACGTATAATACAGTATATCAAGCTTGCTTGGTGCCTTGGTGGAGTTTGTGTGCAAATTTCATGTTGATTTTCAGGATAAATTTATCCCGTTAATCTTCGACCTGTTTTTGTAATAACACATTATAAAAAAGGAGTCTTGTGTCATTTCAGGGTGGTTACTTGGACATTTTAATTTGATTACGTGTTCACTTTGCCACGTATGATATCGTGTATAATCACAAAACGTCGTCGTATTTAACGTCGTTATGGTAATTAGTAACCTGTGAGTGATTTACCCCTTGTATTTCTATAGTAACCCTGAAGTGATTTACCCTTTGCATCTCTATGGAACTTTCCTGATATATCAAGTTCTCAAATTCGCGGAGAGGGTGGGAGGCCGATCTGGGAGGACAAGGAGGTGCAGTCAGGGAACTCGATCTGTCACATATTACATTACAAACGAGGTCAATCACACTTCAATCTATTGTTTAAGAAGTAATAGTTGCACTCTGGACAATTTATATGGTATCATAAATGACTTAACTCATTGAAGGTAGCACTTTCGATGTATGAATATTAAAATTTGAGTTGTAATGGTTCAATTAGATCCATCATTTTGCGAATAGATTCATCAATTTTGCTTAAACCTTTAGGTTGCATAAATTGGTAAACTAGGGCTTTTCTAGACGGTTCGAAAATATCTACTTACTAGATTAGTGCCCGTGCGATGCACGGTAGTAATAACATTTTTTTCCATAATTAATTGTGATATAATATAAAAATGAGGCAACTTATGTGGAATAAACAAATGCAATGCATGTAAGAAAGATGAAATAATAAGGCAAAATTTATCAAAACTACAATTGAGGAAAAAAAATTTATTTTTGATTAGTTGTGTTGAAAATATTTTTTTTAAAAAAATATTTTAAAATAGTGTACATTATACTATATTAATGATGCATGTTATTCCCAATAAAACTATACAACGTAGATGTCGTATGGCATTTTATAAATGAATTAATTTAGTCACAAAAAAAAAAAAAAAAAAAAAAAAAAAAAAAAAAAAAAAAACTATACAATGTACTTAAAAAAAAAAGCTAAGTAGAATAATTTTTTAAAAATAAAACTTAAACCTGACATCATATATTTTATTGACGGGAAATTTTTTAATGATTGCTTGACATATGTCCAAAATGATCGATGTAAGCATGACCTATTTTAGTATTAGTTAAAAGATTTTTTAAAGGGAAAAAATGTTATAAGTTGGTAAAATTATTACAAAAATATTTAACAGAATACACACTCAATTATTATTATTTCATAAGATTTCAAATCAACACCATGAAAAAAAAATGTTTTTTTTCCATTGAACCCCACTATTGTACAACTATATAATGGTAATTTGAATGTTAATATTGTATTTTTGGCCCTCGTTTTTTTATACTGTCCATCATATTTCAACCTTCTAAATCATAGCTCATTCTGATTAGGGATTTTCCCCTGCCACGTGGACCACTCACATCTTGCCACGTGGACCAATCAGAGTCCGTCACGTGTCACCTCGTGAGAGGTCCAAGGTGGACCAATCAGGCCACGACACGTGGCAGACAGATAGCCCAACAAGAAAGAGGCCTTTACGGCCCAAACTCTTAGGCAAAGCCCAGTCAGGCCTAAGGTTTACTGAAACCTAGTATCGGGCACGTTTCCCAAAGCTATATAAGAGAGATGTTTCCCTCTGAGGAACATCTATTTAGAAATATTTACTCCACATTATCTCTCAATCAGAGAAAGTCAGACTCCTGACACCTCGAACTGAGCAATTCTACATTGCAGATACTCTCTTGTACTCTGAGAGAGACCTTTTACCTTTCCGCACCTTTACTCCTCATACATGTTCTATCTTGATCGTCGGAGGCTGAACTCCCACCCACCGGAGTCTCCGTTGTTTTGCAGGTACAGACATCCCGGTCAGTCTTGGAATTGTAACTCCTGATAAGTCTATTTTATGTATATTTTCATTCCCCGTCCCACGGTCATATTTGTGCTTATTTGAGCTCTATGGAGCTATTTTTATTACTAGTATATGTTTTATAATATTTTTGTAGAGTTGATATTATTTTGTAGGAATTTGCAGATTTATGTTAATACCTGAGCTTATTGAGCCTCTACGAAGATATTGGAGTCAGATCGTATTTTATAAACCATATATTTGAAGCCCAAAATTGAGCTAATTAAATTTGGTTCGGTGATTAAGGGCTCAGTTTGTTTGGAATACTAATTCTATTGGCAGTCCAATACTTGAATATAGAGAAGAAGGAATTACGGCCCAAAGGAGAAGAGCCCAACAATTAAATCAGCATTGAAGCCCAGCTCGTAGCTTCAGCTGACCGGGCCCGATCAGGCGAGGCGTGGCCCGGTCCGGGCAGATATCAGCGCCTATCCCAGCTATTTGGGCTTTGTTGTTTTGTGCTATCCAAATTCTTGGATAATGGCGGCATCAATTTTTATTTTAGCTTTTAGGATAGTTTTTCCTTTAACTTTGGATTATTTTTAGTTTTATAGTACTTTGATTGTGAGGGGGAAGTTGGACTTTTTGTCACTTCCTATATAAGAAGAGTAGCAGTACGTAGGTTAGTAGGGTTTTTTTTTTTTTTTCTTAGTTTAGTTTTTGATTAGTAGTTTTAGATTAGTTATTGTTTTACCTTTTGTTTTCTTTTCTTTTTCTTATCAAGTTTTATTATTACTACTTAGTTTTAATATTATTTCTTTGTTTTCTCTTTGGTTTAATTATTTTCATATTAGTTTATAATTATTGTTTTAATCATGCTTTTTTTATATGCTTTGCTTAGTTTAGATTTAATTATGCGTGAATAGTTTTATTTCTAGGGTTGTGAGGATCCATAATTAATATGACGGGGTAATTTATTATTGTTGATTGTTAATGTTTTTGATTGATTTCCTATTGATTGATTTAATGCTATGCAATTAGATTAGGCTTGGTTTAATTGTATGAGTTATTTAATATTAATTCAAGATTTGAGAGACGAGAATTGATGTTTAGGCTTAGTTTCAATAGGCAGGTTAATTTATAAATGGTTAAGTCAAGATTCGAGAGATGCGATTTAATACCGGTAGATTAATTCTGTGATCGTAATACGTAACGAAAGCGCTTTATGATCTGATTAATCTATGCATTGATGATTGATTATTATGTTTTACCCTAGAATATTATCTATTGGTGAATCTATACCCTAGGCCTTTTATTATTGTTTTCCTCCCTTATTTAATTTGCTTTAGTTTAGTTATTAGTTTAATTCTCACAAAAACAATTTGGTTACTTGATAATTTAGATTATATTAATTAATTAGAAATAGAAAGACCTGTTTCTCTATGGATTCGACCCTACTTCCCTATATATATATTAGTTAGTGGTTTTAGGAATTACTTTTGATTAGGTGATACAACTTTAGCCTGTCAACTCTTCCGCAGGACATCAAAAAACCCCGAAACATTTGGCGCCGTCTGTGGGGAGAGTACTTCTGAGATGACTTCACAAGAACTTATACCGCCCCTAAGTGAGAAACGACCTATGGCCGAAGTCCAGGTCTACTCAGACCAGGATATAGATGACGATTATGAAGTCTCCACTCATACGCCCCCTGACGGGTCCCTGAGAACACGGCGCATCTGTCCCACCGAAAGGAGGAACGAAACATTGACTTGGCCGGGCCCAGTGAAACAGTCGCCCAGCCGGCTGATCCTTAGGTGGCCGAAGGATCCACCCCCATCACTAGAAATGAGCTCATGACTCTCATGACAAGTTTCAAAGGGGAGATTAAGGGTCTTATTGATAAACGAACGGCTGTTCCTACCAAGGAATAGTCGGCCAAAAAGCCCTCTCATTCTAGGAGGAATAAGCCGGTCAAGGACCGAGAGCTTACTCCTTATCCTAAACCAAGGGAAGGACCGAAGCCCTTGATAAACTTGGCCGGACTTCGATTCCCTGAGATAAGGAAAAGGAAGGCCGTCCGGCATATACAGCCGGATGGTTCTAAGAAAACATGTTCAGATGCTCAGATGATAATCCAGCAAAAGAAGAATATGCAATTGTCAGAGTCACCCTCAACATCGAACTTCAATGACACCTTTCAGAATACCTCAATGAGGTATTCTCAATCAAACCGAGAGGATCAGACAGGCGGCATGTTTGCTCACTCCGGTCCTCAAATGTTCCAGACGGCCCCGTATGCACCTCAACAGCCATACATGCCTTATGGACAACCTTTTATGCAACCCTCTTCGGAGGGCAGGCGGCACCTAATGTCCAGCCCATGGACTGGCAGCTCCGACTGCTAAAACTTGGGGAACAACCCTCAGCTTTCTCCAAGGAAATAACTGAGGCCGCACAACCGGCCAAGGTGAAGAATATGTTGGTAGGTACTTATGATGGTACCTCCAACCCAGAAGACCACCTGATGGCATATACCAATCTTATGTATCTTCAAGGGTTGGACGATGCTACATGGTGTAGATGCTTCCAGGCCACATTGAAAGGCGTCGCCTAGCAATGGTTTGGCAACCTTCCAGCCGGATGCATAAATAATTTCAAGACACTCGCATACTTGTTTGTGTCAAACTTCTATATGAATATCCCTACAAAGAAGACAAGTCTTGACTTGGGATCCATACAGCAGGGGGAGAAGGAGGGGCTACGCTCCTATGTCAGGCGCTTCAATTTGATGAAAATTCAGATTCAAGGGCTGTCTAATGAGGTAGCCTATACAGACTTTTTCAAAGGTCTGAAGGACGGGTCGGCCTTCAAGTTCGACCTCATCAGAAAGAGGGTGTCTACCCTCCAAGAGGCATTGATGGAGGCGGACGCCTATATACAGGCAACCAAAACTTTGTAATGTCGGAAAACAGTCGGACTCAAGGAGGTCCGATAAAAAAGAGAGTCGACCATCACAGCCGGCTAAAAAAGAAGAGAAGAAAAGAAAACAAGTCTGGGTGGCTGAAACTTCTGAACAGTCGTCCTAGAAGAAAAAGAGAGAAGCGAAGACGTACTCCCCAAAGTACGAATTCAATAAAGACTGTTACTCCATCCTCATGGAGATTAAGGACCGAGTCTCTATTGAGAAGCCGACCCCTGTGAAAGGTTCCGCCAAGAATCGGAACAAGAACAATCACTGCCACTACCATGAGGATATTGGCCATGATACCAACGAGTGCTACAACCTCAAACGCCTGTTGGACCGTTTGGCTGAACAAGGGGTACGCAAGTCCTATATTCTGAGGTCCAAGGTTACCCTACAAACTAACACTGGAAAGCCGCCCAAAAAGAAGTCCCACTCTGCTAATAGTTCAGATACTGATGAAACTTTGATCTATACAATAGCAGGCGACTTCACTGGAGGCGGCCCTACCATCCGGGGTAACAAGAACTACCTCAGGGGCCTTGATGTAAATTCAGTCGACGAGGGACAGGCGTCCAAGGATCCCTTCCCCGAAGTCATTATCACTGAAGATGACAGGGGGAGGGTCAGGAGGCCCCATGATGACCCTGTGGTAATTGAATGCAAAGTGGCCAACCAAAGAGTTGGCCGAATCCTCATTGACACTGGGAGTTCTTCGACCTCATCAGTCACAAGTGCCTGACCAAGATCACGTACAAGTCCGAGAGTATGCACCAGGTCTCTCATCCCTTAGTAGGATATGGGAGTGGTGTGGTGCATTCGGTAGGTCGAATAGACTTACCTATTCGACTGGGCGAGAAAGGGAAGGGACGACATATGGTGGTCCAATTCTTGGTTGTTGAAGAACTGACGACCTACAACATGATTCTGGGGCGTCCCACCCTGAACGAATCCAAGGTTGTTATCATTCCTTCTCTTATGCTTCTCAAGTTTGAGAGGGATGATGGAACAGTCGGCTCCCTTCGGGGAGACCAGAAGATGGCCAGCGAGTGTTACCTCTCTGATGTAAAGCCTACTGTGGCCGTATGCGGCCCCAATGGAGAGACTACTGACCTTGACCAAGTCAAGGAAGCCGCGCCCGCTACAACAGCAGCCGACAAGAAAAGAAAGGCCAACCAAATGGTGGCTGAGAAAAAAGACAAGCGATAGCAATCACCGACCGGTCAAAGGCCGGATGAACTCCGTCCCAAGCCGGCTGGTGAACACATGGAGGTTGTTCTAGATGATTCTCGTCTCGACCGGACTGTTAAGGTTGGGATGACTGCTTTTGCTGAACTCAGTGCAGGCTTTAATCACTTGTTGAAAGAATTCAAAGACATCTTGCCTTTAAAGTGGACAAGATGCCAGGCATCAGCCCAAACCACAACAAGAATTAAGCCTATTTCCGACGGAAAATATCCCTCGGAAAATAGGCAATTTCCGTCGGAAATCGTCATTTCCGACTGAATTCCGCCAGAAACAGCCTGTCGGAAAACCCTTCGTCGGAAAAAGGTCGTTTCCGACGGAATTCCGACGGAAATGACGATTCCGATGGAATTTCCGACGGAACAATGGCGTCGGAGAATGGTGGTTGGGAAGGTGGAAAAGTCCGTCGGAGATGTCCGACGGACTGAAGATTCCGTCGGAAAATTCCCCTTTTCCGACGAAAATTATCCGCCGGAAAATTCCTTATTTTCCGACGGAATATTCCGTTGGAAAAGGGGGAATTTTCCGACGGAATTAATCCGCCGGAAATGGGGGTAGTTTCCGACGGAACAATTCCGTTGGAAATGTGGGGATTTCCGGCGTATTTATTTTCTGTCGGAAATCCCCACATTTCCGACGGAATTGTTCCGTCAGAAAGTTCTATTTTTTTTTATTTTTTATTTTTTTGCTTCTATTTCGTCTCTGTATATTAACCTGTTATTCGCTACTGCAATCTGTTTAAAACATAATAACATTTCATTTGAAAACAAAGCAATTAATATAAATTAATAATTGTAATTATTACATTCGGTTTTGTTAAATAACCTACATTGTATCTCAAATTATGTACAATACGTGAAAAAAAACAAAAAGCTACATGACGGGAAAAGAAGCCGAGCCTCCCTCACAACCGGGGTCGTCGTCCTAAGGGTCTCGCGGCTGCGACGGCATCGGCGTGGAACATGTGAATGGAGTGTTGAGTCCGGTCATGTGACTCAACATCTTGTCCATCATCTCTTTGTTCCTCCGCTCAAGTTCCGCCATCTGAGCCTGTACCTGAGCCTGTACCTGGGCCTCCATTTGGGCCTGCATTTGAGCTTGCACCCGAGCCTCGATCTCAGCCACAACAGACGACGACGGGTGGTACTGCTGAGAGGACCCAGAGACTCGGGAGGATTGATAGTACAACTCAGCACCTCGACCAAGACCCCTTACTCGGCCTTTCTTGTTACGCCCGCCTACTGCATCCCAGTACAGTTCATCTTGGATTTTGGAAGACTCCTGACTGCTTGCTTCCTCAACCATTTTATGATATGTTTCCTGCAGAATATTGACGAGATATATTAAGAAATAATGATGTTTCAAGAGAAAAGGGGCCAACACAAAACGGTTCTACCTTGCCTATTTTTCACATTTCTTATCAAACTAACCTATAACTTGCACTAACATACCAATATAGCCTAGTTACAAGTGTTCATGCATTGAAAACGAACCTTAGAAGCATTTCACTAAGTTTTGGGACGCTATTTGTGATTTTCGAGGGAAAAGGGGCCAAAAAGGCTTCTACCTTGCCTATTTTTCACATTTCTTATTAAACTAACCTATAACTTGCACTAACATACCAATATAGCCTAGTTACAAGTGTTCATGCATTGAAAACGAACCTTAGAAGCATTTCACTAAGTTTTGGGACGCTATTCGTGATTTTCGAGGGAAAAGGGGCCAAAAAGGCTTCTACCTTGCCTATTTTTCACATTTCTTATCACACTAACCTATAACTTGCACTACCATACCAATATAGCCTAGTTACAAGTGTTCATGCATTGAAAACGAACCTTAGAAGAATTTCACTAAGTTTTGGGACGCTAATGGTGTTTTTCGAGGGAAAAGGGGCCAAAAAGGCTTCTACCTTGCCTATTTTTCACATTTCTTATCAAACTAACCTATAACTTGCACTAACATACCAATATAGCCTAGTTACAAGTGTTCATGCATTGAAAACAAACCTTAGAAGCATTTCACTAAGTTTTGGGATAATGTTCGTGATTTTAACATAACCTAATTACTGAATTTAAATTTTAGCGACATTAAATTAATGAATTTATTACCGCAATCTCTTTGGACTTTTTGTTTGACGGAACCTTTCCTTTTCCCGGCACATCCTTGAAGTGCGTTTTCAGGAACAGATCAGCAGCGGATGGCAGCCTCCCTTGGTTTTCCGCCGCCTTTGCACATAAATACAAATAAATCACATTAATTTGTAAACTTAATTACTGCAAAACATAAAACAACAAATCTCATATACTGACCATCCGTTTTGCATTCTGTACGGCTGATACGGAACCCTGGAAGTGGGTTGCCTCCACTTCATTCTCCATGGAATCGCCTCTTCGGTTCAGCTTGTTCTGTGTGGACCGCTTCTTGTACGTGTCATCAGAGTCAGGAATCTCCATCATCTTCTTGTGCACTTCCTCTGACACCCAATACGGTCTCGCACCTTTCATCTTCTTCGTGACAGTGTAAAACATGTCACGAAGGCGGGTACCGGCCCGAGCTTTAAATGCCGATGGTACCTGACTGTCCAGCTCCGGTGACCACGTAAAATTTTGCTGCATAATCAAAACTCGTAAAACGTAACAACAAAATATTTTTCATTTAAAATAATACTATTTGTACTGGTACATACCCTGAACAAGTTCCACCAATGACTTTTTGTGGCCTCGTCAACCTCTCCATAGTTCCTCCAAGGCGTCGTATAGTGCCCCTGGATCGAACCGGAGATAGCTTTCTTCACTATTTGGTCATCAAACCTGTTTCAGAACAACAAAAAGGCCGCCAGTAGATTTTGATAATTAGAAATATGAATCACGAAATGCATATAACAGCTGATGTAATATTCTTACCAGAGCGTGCCCGGATCTAGGCGTGGCACTACATCCCCTCGTGCGTGCTCCGACTGCCCTGAGCTTCGGGGCTGTGACAGATCCTCATGCTGAGTAAGCGAATCTGGTACCTGAGTGTCACCCAGACCCTGAACAGTCTCAGAGTCATCCTCATGCTGACTGTCTGACACATGACACGAGGGGTAGGGCTCAGATCTTCGCGTCCTCCTCCCCGAGCTATCTCCCTTTCTTCCTTCGGCCATGCTTCCCTACAAAACAATTCAAGGATCGAACATACAGACATAAATAGGTTAGCAGTTACATTCCTCATATCAATCAATACAGCTATTCATTACAATCATTTATTATAATCAGTAATATTTTTCATTACAATCACTAAAGCTACTCATTACTATCACTACTGCTACAATGATCACTACTGTTATCATCGGTACTATCATCAAAAACAACAATGTCTTCCTCATCCTGTTCACTGCCCTCTTCGTTGTCACTTGAACCGACGCTTGATTCGTCTTCAGATCAGATATAATATCATCGTCCTCAGCCTCGGAGACAACAAATGCATGACCATCGTCCCCGTAGTCTGGGATATCAGTCGGTGGGCAGAGTGTACTACATTCCCGTGTTTGTGTTCCTTGCAAGAACTCCGGGTCCACAGGAGCATCCACAACGGACCTTGCCTGCGTTTTAAACACAGCCCACCATTGAAACCGATCCCGTTTGAGGCTCGGATATGGTGCATAATATACCTGACCAACTTGATAAGACAGCACGAATGAGTCATATTTGGGGAATTTATTAGTGTGATTCACGTCAACAAGCTTGTATTGTTCATGTATGTTCATACCCCTACCACAATCCATCCAACTACACTTAAACAAGATGGTCTTGTATTCATGGATTGCACCAGTGTAGACAACTTCAATAATGTCTTGTAACATGCCAAAATACTCTCCTCCATCTTGACTGGACACACACACACACACCGTAATTGATCGTGCCCTTATGTCTGTCGTAGTCTTGCATATGGAAATTGAAATCGCTAACAAATATTCGGCTCCAAGTGCGAACTTTCTTGAACGGACCCATAATTAAACCTTGCAACACATCAGATCATGGTTTCTCTTCAATTACCTATTAGCGGTAAGATAAAATTAAAATACGTCATATTTGGATTATTAAAATTGAGCTGGATTGTACATACAGAAGTCCATAATTATCCCTATACCTTGTCCCTAAACCAATTAGGGAACTGTGTTTCGAATGTCTCCCATACAGCTTCTCTGTGCAAGGTAGGACGGGTGCTAAGAATATGGTCCTCAAACTTCCTGCTACGACAGCCAGAACTTGTTAATGACCGTGAAACTCAGTACACGTGATCATATGATGGAAACAATTTAGTTACTGTGGATTACCTTTCATATTCACCTAATATGCCACTGTTTGATAAAACAAATAAGTGTGCACGTTGAAATTCCTTTTCATCTAACCACCTCAATTTTCCCTCAGTTGACACACGACCGGTGTCCTCCGAAAACAGTTCTGGGATGTCATTGGTGTCAAGGGAGGTGTCAACATCAGCATTCACATTCCGACCAAGATCTCGGGTTTTTGTGTCAACTGACGGCTGGAAGTAGTTTGAGCAGAAATTTGATATCTCCTCAGTTAGGTAAGCGCTGCATATCGAACCTTCAACACGAGCCTTGTTGCCAATTTTTCGTTTTATATGGTTCAGGAACCTGAAATTAAAGTATATTATGATTTTAAACGGTGAATTTGTGACTGCTCAAAAACTAAATCAAGGGTTCAGTACCTTTCGAATGGATACATCCATCGATACTGCACGGGTCCAGCTAACTTTGACTCGTACGGTAAGTGAATGAGTAAATGCTCCATGGAGTTGAAGAATGCAGGTGGAAAAATCTTCTCCAGTTTGCAAAGGATCTCGGCAATGTTCTTTTCCAGCCGTTCCATGTCACTGACTGTGACTGTGTAGCAACACAAGTCTCTAAAGAATTGACTGATCTCTGTAATTGCATTCCAGACATGAACAGGGAGCAATTCTCTCAATGCGACAAGTAATAACCTCTCCATGAACACGTGACAATCATGACTTTTCATTCCGTGTATTCTACACGCCTGTAGATCTACACATCTGCTCAAATTGGAGGCGTAACCGTCAGGGAATCGCAGGTCACGAACCCACTCACACAAAACCTTCCTCTGACCCTTATCGAGGCAGAATGGGGCCTTTGGCATGACCTCATTCCCTATGTCATCAGCCTGTAGATGAAGTTGAGGTCGCCTACAATATTTGGCAATGTCTTTTCTGGCCGAAGGTGTGTCAGAAGTTTGTCTTCTCACATCCATTACAGTGTGAAAGATTTGATCAAAGAAGTTTTTTTCAATGTGCATGACATCAAGTTGTTACGAATCAGCAAATGCTTCCAATACGGAAGCTCCCACAGGCAACTTTGCTTGAACCACCCTTTCTTTTCCTTTTTCAACTATTGTAGTGATTCGGGCCCATCTGTGGCCCTTGGAAGGTCTTTCACACACTCCCAAAGTTCCGCCCCTGACATGATGTGCGGCGGTGCACCTTTTTCAACTCTGTTTCTGCAAAATGCTGTTTTACTTTTTCGGAAAGGATGATATGCAGGAAGAAATTGACGATGACAATCAAACCACGAAACTTTTCCGCCATGCTGCAACCAAAATACCTTGCTTTTTTCCATGCAGTACGGGCAAGCCTTCTTACCAGCCGTGGACCATCCAGACAACATACCATATGCAGGGAAGTCACTAATGGTGCATAGGATGGCTGCTCTCAAATTGAAATTTTTTTCTTTGATATATCATAAGTACTTGCGCCAACTTCCCACAACTGTTTCAGATCTTGTATCAGTGGTTGCATGTACACATCTAAATATCCCTTCGGGTTTTTGGGGCCAGGGACTATCAGCGACAAGAACATGAACTGCCTTTTCATACACATTGAGGGAGGCAAATTGTATAGGGTCAAAATCACGGGCCAACAAGAGTATTGACCCCCAACTTACCATGAGGAGCAAAACCATCTGTACACAGCCCTAGTTGAACATTCCGTGGATCCGAGGGAAACTCTGGGAAGCAGGTATCAAGCTGTCTCCAAGCTTCAGTGTCACTAGGGTGTGCCATCGTGCCTTTGACACGAGGATTATTTGCATGCCAACTCATTTCCTCTGAAATGTTCTTCGTTGCAAACATCCTTTGCAACCTAGATGTGATCGGGAAATAAAATAGCGCATTCTTTGGAACCAAGCTGCCTTTGAAAGTTCTTTTGTATCGATCACTGCCACACACTCTACATGTAGGAAGCTCAACATCCTCTTTCCAAAACAACATACATCCCTTGGGGCATGCATGAATCTTTTCATGCGGCAGCTCCAACCCCTTAACAACCTTCTTAACATCGTAGAATGTCTCACCCAACCGGCTGTTGCCAGGGATCGCTTCTGTCAACAATGAAACGAACCCATCAACACACCTGTGCGGCAAATTGTACTCACACTTTAAGCTAGTAATTCTTGCCGCCACCTCCAAAACCGACATCGAACTCCCTTCATACAATGGATGTTCAGACGCCTTCAACAAATCAAGAAAACGCTTTGCTTCAGCGTTAGGCTCCTCCTCTTCAGTACCCGATCGATCATAATTATGACCAACATCATCCATAACCATATCACGATATTCATTTGATTTGCCTTCTACTGAGGATTCAGGTAACCCTTCCCCTTGACACATCCACTCCCAATAACGAGGAGTGAATCCCTTGCTGTACAAATGAATTCTTACTGTGTCCGGATCCTGAAAACGTCTGTTATTGCATTTAACACAAGGACACCTATATTCATTCTTTGTAGTCTCACGATGATCTTCGCAAAACTGTATGAATTCCTCTACCCCTTTTAAGAACTCAGGCTTAATAGAACGCCCATCCAATCTATCATACATCCAGCTCCGCTCTCTTCGTTTCATGATTCTAACTTGAACAGGTATATATTCATTTCACACATATTTAGAAGATTGAAATACTAAACTAACATATATACATTATATTAAACTAAACTAACATACATACATTATACTAAACTAAACTAACATACATACATTATACTAAACTAAACTAACATACATTATACTAAACTAAACTAAACTAACATACATACATTATACTAAACTAAACTAACATACATTATACTAAACTAAACTAAACTAAACTAACATACATTATACTAAACTAAACGAAACTAAACTAACATACATACATTATAACAAACTAAACTAACATATATTATACTAAACTAAACGAAAATAAACTAACATACATAAATTATACCAAACTAAACTAACATATATTATACTAAAGTAAACTATACTAAACTAACATACATACATTATACCAAACTAAACTAACATACATTATACTAAACTAAACTAACATACATTATACTAAACTAATAACATACATTATAATAATATAAACTAAACTAATAACATACATTATACTAATATAAATTCAACTAAACTAAACTAAACTAACATACATTATACTTAACTAATATACATTATACTAAACTAACATACATTATACTTAACTAATATACATTATACTAAATTAAACTAAACTAAACTAAACTAAACTAAACTAAACTAAACTAAACTAAACTAACATATACATTATACTAATAAACTAAACTAATTAAACTAACATAAAAACATAATTAACATATCAATAACCAACATACATTATGTTAAAAATTAAACTAATTAAACTAACATAAAAACATAATTAACATATCAATAATCAACCTACATTATATTAACAATTAAACTAATAAACTAACATAAACATTACATTAACATTAACATTAACATTACATATTAAAAGTTAAACTAATAAATTAACATAAACATAAACTTTAACATAAAAAAACTAACCGGATTTTTTGGTTGTGGAGGTGGTGGAGCTTGAAGAAGAATGAAGCTTGAGGAAGAAAGAAGCTTGAAAAATGGAGCTTGGAGCTTCAATGGAGGAAGGTGAAGGCGTGAAGAACAAAGGGGTTTCGCTGTTTGCTGTTTTTTTAGTACCGAAAAACTTTCGGGAAAATCGAAATGAAATTAGGCAATTCTGGTTTTTAGTTTCGAAAAATTTCCGACGGAATTTCCGACGGAAATTTTCGTCGAAATTCCGTCGGAAATTCCATCGGAAAATGATATCCTATGCGCGGAACCATTTTCCGACGGAAATTTCCGTCGAAAAAGGGTTTCTCCGACGGACTCTATCCCTCGGAAATTTTCCGACGGATAATTCCGTCGGAAATGGCATAATTCTGTCGGAAATGCTCCAGTTTTCTGACGAACCCTTTTCCCTCGGAAAATATGCCTTTTTGAGACGAAATATTTCCGACGGACGTATTTTCCGTCGGAAATAAGCTTAATTCTTGTAGTGAACCTGGTCGTACATAAACTCGCTGTGGATCCTAAAAAGAAGCTTGTAAGGCAGAAGAAGAGGAACCATGGTGAAGAAAGAAGCCAAGCGGCAACCGCCGAGGTGAAAAAATTGTTAGATGCTAAGTTCATTCGGCAATGCTACTTCCCTGATTGGGTTGCTAATGTTGTGCTAGTAAAGAAGCCGAATGGAACCTAGCACATGTGTGTTGACTACACAGACTTAAACAAGGCATGTCCAAAGGATAGTTATCCTCTCCCAAAGATCGACAGTCTGGTCGACTCTACAGCCAGCCATGCCTTGATGAGTTTCATGGACGCCTATTCGGGCTTTCACCAGATACTCCTGTGGAAAAAGGATCAAGAAAATACGGCATTCGTCACTGACCAGGGGTTATTCTGCTATACTGTGATTAGGGGTGTACACCGGTCCAAAACCGGACCGGACCTGGACCGGACCTGTTTGGACCGGGGACCTGAATTGGGTAATTATGAGGACCGGGGACCGGACCTGAATTAACAGGTCCGGTTCCGGGCTAGACCTGAAAAATCAGGTCCGGTCCAGGTTTGGACCTGAATGGACCTGTTTTGTGATTTTTTCGTTTTTTTTTTTTTTAATAAAAAACCTTAATTCATTATTTCGAATACAAAATACCCAAACATAATTAGATAATTTAGCAAAGTACTCATTAATTGAAATTCTACATGCAAAAGTTGTAAATAATCAATTAAATTCAGAATACCAAATCAATGAAAGAGCAACCACGAACGACACTCCAACTAAACGGCTTCACCGCTGCTGCTGTTTCACTTAGGTGGTTTTCTTCACAGATCCGTTGTTCTGCCAGCCCAGAAAAATCAAAGCAGAGCCTCTGAATTCCCGTAGAAAATGAAGGATTACAGAACACAGCTAAGTCACCTCGACTTCTCCGTCCGCTGCTTCGCTTCACCGCTGCTGCACTGCTTTACCGCCGCTGCTCTGCTACTTTGCAGCAGCTTCGCTAGCCCAGAGAACAACCCAACCAAGCCTCCTTCGGTGTTCTTCGCTATTCTGCTGCTCAAAAAGTTCTCCTTTTTTTGTTGCCCAGCAAGATCTCAAGATAAGCTCTAGAATCTCACCACCAAAAACCCCAAAAATAACTTACCGGAGAAATGGAAAATCGCGCAGTAGCTGTCTCATGCGGTGGCCGGTGGGCGCCTGGGCTTCGCCTGAGAGAGTGAGGAAGGCAGGAGGTGTCGGCGGTGGGCGTTGCCGCGTTGGGCTGAGACTGGAGACAGTGAGCGTGAGGGAGAGGGGGAGACAGCCAGGGAGTTTGGAGATTGGAGTCTTGGAGAATGGAGATAGTCAGATAGCTGTTTGTTAGGGTTGCAGCGTAATTTTGATTTTTGAATTTTTTTTTTTTTTTTTTTTTTTTAAAAATACAATTTTTCCGGGTTTCAGGTCCGGACCTGAAAACCCCGGGTTTAGACCGGGTCCGGACCGGAACCGGGAACCTTGATTTTTAAGGACCGGGACCGGACTTGAATCAACAGGTCCGGGTCAGGTCCGGTCCGGATCAGGTCGGTTCAGGTCCGGTTTCAGGTCCGGTCCAGTTTTTGTACACCCCTAACTGTGATGCCGTTTGGTTTGAAGAATGCGCCTGCTACCTTCTAGAGAATGATTAATACAGTCTTCGTTAATCAAATTGGAAGGAATGTGGAGGCATACATCGATGATATGATAGTCAAATCCAAACTTCAGACGGACCATCTTACAGATCTCCGAGAAACATTCGCCACACTCAGGCGGCACCAGGTCATGCTCAATCCTAAAAAATATGTTTTTGGTGTTGAGTTTGGGAAGTTCCTCGGATTTCTGATTGATCAAAGGGGGATAGAGGCAAATCCTGAAAAAATACAGGCGGTCATAGACATGCAGTCGCCCCGTACTGTTAAGGAAGTTCAAAAGTTAACAGGTCGTTTGGCAGCATTGGGGAGATTCCTCAGTCGGTCAGGCGACAAGTGCCTCTATTTCTTCCAAGCAATTAAGAAGAAGACTATGTTTGAATGGGGCGCAAATGCAGAGGCGGCCTTCCAAAAGTTGAAAGAACACTTGCACTCTTTCCCAAGGCTTGTCAGTCCACTGTCAAAGGTAGTATTGTACATGTACTTGACTGTCTCTAATCATGCTCTCAGTGCCGTTCTCCTTGCTGTAAGGGATGGCTGCCAGCTCCCCGTCTATTTTATCAGCCATGTTCTGAAAAATGTTGAGCTGCGGTACCCCATGGTTGAAAAATTTGGCCTGGCCCTCTATATGGCAGTTAAGAAGTTAAAGCCTTACTTCTTGGCACAGTGGTCTACACTAATCAACCAATCAAGCGTCCACTAATAACCATGGATCATCCGGTCGAAGGGTGATTGAGATGCAAAGCTTAGAAATCACTTTTGAGCCAAGGAAAGCAGTGAAAGGGCAGGCACTTGCCGACTTCATTGTTGAGATGACTAGGCCGGCTGATCCAGACAATCCTGATCAAGTCTGGAAGGTATATGTGGACGGGAGCTCCACAATGAACGGTTGTGGTGCAGGCGTCATGTGTCAGTCTCCTAAGGGAGACAAGTATGAGTATGCACTACGTTTTAAGTTCCAAGCCTCAAACAATGAGGCAGAATATGAAGCCCTACTTGCTAGCATCCGCATGTGTAAGGCAGCAGGGGCAAAGAAAGTGGACGCCTGTTCTGATTCACAATTGATTGTTAGCCAATACCATGGTGACTATGAAGCCACCCATCCGGCTATGATCAAATGTTTACAGGCAATCAAAGGAGAGGCCGGGACACTTGAAGAGTTCCATCTCAGTCAAGTGCCTAGGTCCGAGAATAGCCAAGCGGATGCCCTCTCCAAATTGGCATCATCCGCCTCTTGTGACACACCAAGGTCCGTTTTCTGGGAAGTAATGGAAAAAAGGAGCATTGAGGAAGAACCCATTGGTGTCCTTGATCGAAGCTCAACCTGGATGGCTGGCATCCGGGCATATTTAACAGACGGTACCCTGCCGGATACTTACCCAGAGATGATCATAATGAAGAAGCGTGCATCTAACTTTGAGATTCACCAAGGGGAACTATTCAAGAAAGGCTATCTACAACCACTCTTGAAGTGTGTTACCCCAGAAAAAGGCCAAGAGGTCCTAAAAGACTTGCATTCTGGGTTATGCGCCTCCCACGTAGGCGGCTGGCTAGCAAAGAGAGCCAGGCGGCAAGGCTAATTCTGGCCTACCCTGGAAGCAGACGCCATGGAGATGGTTAAAAAATGTGACAAGTGTCAAAGGTTTTGCAAGCTCATCCATCGCCCGACTACTGACTTGACGGCTATCCATAGCCCAGTACCATTCGCCAAATGGGGCATGGACATTCTAGGTCCCTATACGCCTGCTACAGGCGGACGGAGATATATTTTGGTAGCAGTCGACTACTTCACCAAGTGGGTAGAAGCCGAGGCAGTCAAAGGCATAAAAACCAAAGATGTCATCTCCTTTATCTGGAGAAAT